AAATTGTTAACCCTTGTATGTAGATGATGAATCAGCCTTTGCTTCCGAACTGCAGGTAATAATCAAATCATTCCCCGGAAATAAAAATGCACCTCCTTAACCTTGATTTGCATTTAGAGTTCAGAAGCCTACGACAGGAATAGGGTCAGCTATGTGCCTCAGCTGTGAGGGAGACTCTGAAAAGATTGTTTGAATCATAATGTTGAAAATGAATGCTGACTTCTCAGAAGTAGAGAGCTTTACAGGCTATTTCCCTTAGCTTCTCTCCAGCACCTTGTCTGAGAGTCCACCCCCTGGAGGTACTCACACAGCATTTGTGGTGGACTGTTGGCTTAGACCCTAAAATGTAGGCAGTGAGTTTGAAAATGTTAAGGAGGATGGTTGATCCGTTGATGCATCTCAGAAGAGGTGATGTCGAAGGTTCTGCTGTAACCATCACAAGCACCAGCACAATTTTTGGGGAAATGACTTGAAATGTTAGCGAAAACCAGATGATTTTACAGCTTAAGAGTCTATGTAAATCTACCAATAGGGGTCCTACAGCAGGCAGGGTGCAGCAGCAGAAAACAGAAAACATCGAGCCATTTTCAACAGACGAAAAAGGTCTATAAGGAATTAGGTGCTCCCCAGATTATCAGAGGGCTGGAGGAGTGTTCCAGGGAAGACTGAGACCAGAGCCACAGGGCTGGCCCTGACCAGGGGCTGCTGTCTGTGCCCCAAGGTGGGGCGGCGGGCTGCCCTGGAACCTCCGAGGAGCCTCATTTCTTCAGTCCAGACCGCACACTAGTGCATTCAATTGACAGAACCTAATTCTCGGCCACAGCACCGCTCACAGAGGGCCCCAGTGCATGTTAGCCAGTCAGCCTTGGTGCCACAGGAATGCATGCAGCAAAGAGGCTGCCGAGGCTGGTCCACCATCCGCACCGCGGCACCAGGTGAAAAACGAGGTGAGGGGAGAATTCCCTGGCAGAGCAGTATTTGAGAAGCAGTTATGGGAACTAGTGGAGGAAAGTGTAGCCAAGGGGAAGACGGAGGCACCACTCAGAGCTCAGTCGCCAGTGCAGCTGCTGGCTCGGGTGCCTTGTGTTGGGTGTGAAGGGGTGTTTGTCTTGCTGGCCTCTCTGGGCTGACCATGCAGCCAGTTCCCTCTGTTTAGGTGAACAGTGGTTACTGGCAGGAGGCCAAGGAATCAGAACAGTTTTTTGATCGCTTCCATTTGCAGGGAAATGAAATATGATCTGGAAAGCCTGTGACTGCCTGGGATAGCTTGTAGCAAGTCTGGGGCCTTCTCAACAGACTTGAAAATCCTGTTATTAATGAGGAGTCTCTCCTGCTCACCCATCCCGCCCCCTCCCCCAGCATCTTACGGCTTTGGCATGATAGTCAGAGACCAAAGCAAAGCACAGGGATGCCCTGGCACTGCGTGATGTGCCCAGTTAAGGGTACAAGCAACTTTTGGTTCCACTGGGAAACAGGTGGTTGGATTTGGGGATTGGGTCTTTTACCTGCTTGTTGCCCTTGAATTAGGTGCTTTGTGTTGACCCCACCCCCACCATCAGCACCGCCTTGGCATCCCACCTAGAACTCTCTTACATACGTCTCCCATCTCTGCCTTTCCTTTCCCTACATCTGCCAGCGAGTTTAAGCTGTTAGTAACCCTGGTTTGATATGTTGTCCCAAGTTAATTTGTAGCACATTGCGTTTTAACAGGGGCCTTTAATCCCAGGGAAATATCTGATGGTGAGAAATCAGGCTCCCTGGTTGAGACTGAGGCAGAGG